TTGTTGTGAAAAGCAGAGGAAGGGCGGACTAGCAGATGGACAGGAACGGAAACGGACTAGGCAGAGATCGGCAGGGCTCTTGGAAAGAAAAGTCCCCGAACAGAAGAAGAGCGACCAGCACCGGAGTCCAAGGGAGACGCGCCCCCCTCAGCTCGCTTCGCCTGGCGGGCCTCCGCCGCACGGCTTCCCTCCGCCCCAATTCTCTATGGCAGCGGGAAGCAGGCAGGCCCCTCTGAGGCAGGCCGAGCGAGGAGGAGGTCGCCAGGCGACCGCGGCCATTGTCACCTCGGAGCGACGCGGCGGCAACCAGGCCCTGGCCGTCGGGGCGGAGGGGGCAGTGGCCGTTCGCGCGCCCCTGTATGAGCGAAGGAGGGCTGGGGGGTGTAGGGGAAGAAGCAGCCAGGCGGCCATTTTGTGCCCACTCCAGCCCGAACAACGCGTCGCCCTCGTTTGCCCGCCCGGGGAGACCGGTGGGCTTGGCGGGCTCCGGCTCTGCTCGCTCCCCCTCCTTCCTTCCCGAGCAGCCACCATCCATGTTGCCAGAATATGGGGGCCGGGGAGCGCGCGTGTTATTCGTGTTTGTGTGCTTGTGGTACTCGCGTGTTCAAACCCTTTCGGGAGACGAGCCTTCGCTCCCCGGTAGGATGCAGTTGGAAGCAGGCTGGCTATTCTTTCTCCCCATCCACACGCGACGCCGGGCACAGCGGCTAGACACGTGACTTCACGCCAGCGACATATCACGTCTGGATGCCCTTTTCCGAGAGCAGTGCTTAGTGCAGGAATCAGGAAGAACGTCCCTGGAGACTAGGCTACAGGCCAATAGAGAGGAACCGTTTCGCATTCTTGCAAATTACTATTTTAAGTGAAATTACTGTGAATCACTAAGCCCCGCCACTCACACGGCAACTCCTCCCCGCAGTACAATAGCGCGCGAATTCAACGGGAGCGGGATGTGTTGGTATCTGCTCGCGAAACAGCTAGAGAGTGGGGTTTCCATGGCAACGGTGCGTGGCCTCAGCCCGCGGTGGT